CAAACACAATCAATTACTTAAAAATGAGTTATTAAAATGTAAAGTTGACGCTGGAAATCTAGCATATTTTTGTAGGTGAGTCGAATTAACTTCTCTCAAGGGTTTGAATTAAGTTTTTAGAAGCACAAAATTGATCCGTCAAATTTGTAGTTACCCGATGTTAATAAAAAAAAGGTTAACATACATTTATAAGGGGTGTTTTGAAATTGGAAATGATTATGCTAGTCTTCCATTTCAAACGCTTTATATGATAAATCATTATGAATTCTAAAAGTATTGTTCCAATTTAATTCATTTACTAGAGTATTAAGGAAGAGTAATGATCACCTCAGCTAGTTCTGACGAGAAGCCCGGTTCGAACTTCCATGTCCAATGGACTTCTCGCATGAATTTTTTAATGATATTTTTTGAACATGTTTTCCATCAAGTCTTATTTATGCCTACCAAATTTCAGTTTATAATTCAATCAGGAAGACGGTTAAAAAATTATTGAATACTACTGCGCCAAAATGTACATGAAGAACACAATGTTTTTCAATAATTTATTTAACTGACTTTCCGATTCAATTTTAAACTAAAATTTGATGGACATAAGCTAGACTCCACCAAAAACATATTAACAAATTGGGAAAAGTACAGAAAAGGTACATGTGATTTGAGCCGTAGTCAAATAAGGCACATATTTCATTTTTTAACAAAGTGGGACATGTGATTCAATTCCGTCATCACAGCTGGGACATGACGTCTAACATCGTTAGAAAAATAAACTCCGATTTTCAAAAGTTTTTGAAAAATTTAAAAGAAAAATATTGGGAGATGCACCTCGTTAAGGAGACCAACAAACTATCATTTTCTTTGGATTTTTCGGCTTTATTCGGATTATTTTTAAAAAACAAAATCGTTAATATCACTTTTCCGGTGGATTTTCTTGTGACAGGGTGACTAGAAACAAAAAAAGAAACATGATCTGGAGGTCCTCTTGACGAGGCGCACCTCCTAGTACGTTTCTTTTAATTTTTTGGAAACTTTTGAAAATCGAAGTTAATTTTTCTTTTCTGATGGTGTTCGACGCCATGCCCCAGCTCGCAGCTGTGATAACAAAATTGAAACACATATCCTACTTTGTTAAAAAATGAAACATGTGCACATATATGAAAACGGTCCAAACCGAATATATTTATACTTTTCCTAACAAATTTGATCAAATTTTTTTGGGAATTTTACACAAGTAGTCCAAAAACTAAAAATAATACTACCTCCGTCCCTAAATGTTCTTCCAAAATAAAGTGGCACACTGATTAAGAAAGTGAGAATTGTGTGGTGGAGAGTTGTGCAGAGGAGAGAGAAATGCTGTGAACCACAAATTCTTTGCCAAAAAGGGAAAGTGAAGTTCTTTTTGGGACGGACGAAAAGGGAAAATTGGAAGTTCTTTTAGGGACGGAGGGAGTATCACTTTTTTTCATTTTTGAATTTTCTTTTCAAAAGAAGATTAATCAAAGTTTTAATTTCAATAATATACTTCATCACCGTAAGCCATAAGGCTTAACAGAGTGACGTTAAAACTTAACCTTCGTTACCCATTGGTACTATTCTTCCACTTTGGGAGTTAGCAGGCTATCTCTATACACCAAGTTTGATAAATTTATACAAACTCAAAAAATTAATCATTGCACAATTCATGATTGTAGATAGAAAAATGCAAATATTTAATAAAATGAAAAAAAGATGAAGACACTTAGAAATTAACAAAAATTATATAAAATAAAAAGTAATAAAATAATCAAATTAAGAAATCAAATAATACATAATAAAAAATCGAAGTAGAAAACTTGTAAGTTAATTTAAAAAAACGGAATATAAATTTTAAAAATAAATCAGAAAATGTAACGAAATGTATAGAAAAATTGGAAATACAAAACTCAAAATTGAAAATGAGAAAGGTTTAAAATACTTTATAAATTGGAAAAAACAATAAAAGTAACAACTTTTTGTAATTTTATTTTTTAGAAGAACTTATATACCCCTAAATTTATATAAAAATACTAAAAAAAATCAAAATATAAATAATTGAAATGTTATAAAACTAATTGAAAACAAAAATGAAAATATAAATAAATACATTAAAAAATAAAAAGGTAAAGCAAATTCTCAAAAATGAAAAAATAAAGAGAAAATCTATATATTTTAAATTCTAAAAAATAGCAAAAAATTATATAAAAAATGGTTCTGAAGGTATTAAAAATCATCATAGGCAATTTTTTTTGTAACAGTTATTATTTTAGGAACCAAAATACATACAAAGTAATTTTTTTTCAAAAAATAAAGTAAAATAATTACATCTCGATCCAACTTCCTTAAATGAGGAAGATATTCCAGATAATGATAGAAACATTGATAAATATGAAATTTCAATAAATTATGTTTCTGCTGGAATTCAATGGAATCGAAAAGATATTAATATTAATGAGATATTTGTCTATGCCGTTGCCACAAATGTAATGAATGAAAACAATGACAATGAGCCAACATCAATTGAAGAATGTCGGAAACGACACGATTGGCCAAAATGGAATGAAGCTATTCAGGTTGAATTAAAATCACTTGAAAAACGTGATGTTTTTGGACTGATAGTCCCCACGCCAAAAGGCGTAAAACCAGTGGGCTTTAAATGGGTATTTGTGCGTAAACGCAATGAGAAAAATGAAATTGTTAGATATAAAGCCCGACTTGTTGCCCAAGGTTTTTCTCAGATGTCAGGAATTGATTATGAAGAAACCTATTCTCTAGTAGTTGATCCAACTACATTAAGGTTTCTTATTGGCATGTCTGTTTTTGAAAGGCTGCAAATGCGCTTAATGGATGTAGTGACTGCATATTTATACGGTTCACTCGATACAGACATTTATATGAAAGTTCCCGGAGGATTTAAAATGCTTGAAGCTTATAACTCGAAACCTCGAGACATGTTTTCCATTAAATTACAGAAGTCACTGTATGGACTAAAACAATCTGGACGAATGTGGTATAATCGTCTTAGTGAATACCTTCTCAAAGAAGGATATAAGAATGATCCAATTAGTCCATGTGTTTTCATTCGGCGATCAAATTCGGGATTCGCCATAATTGCAGTATATGTTGATGACTTAAACATTATTGAAACTCCCGATGAAATTGAAAACACTGCAAAATATCTTATGACAGAATTTGAAATGAAAGATCTCGGGAGAACCAAATTTTGTTGCACATGGTTTCTTTTTATTTCCTTTTGTTGCTTTGTTTTTTGTTTCCCTTTGTTGATACCTATGGAATTTTTGTTTTTTATTGTTTCATAAATTCAAATATATCATTTTTGAGATTGAATATAAATATGTACTCCCTCCGTCCCTAAATGTTGTTCCAATTGCGGTTTACGAGGTTGACCGACGATAAAGTTAAATGATCCCTGTGAAAACTCGGATTATTTTTAGTAAATAAAATTTACATATTCAGAAACTACATTAAACCCGCTACAAAGCCTGCAAAAAATAATTCAACTTTTATAAAATTTTGATATAAAAAGTAAGAGATTAAGAGTGATTTAAGTTGACCAAGGAATAGTGAAATGGAACTTCTTTTAGGGACAAAGGGAGTATTATTTTTTACTTCAAAGAAGTAGCAAAGATAAAACAAAAATAAGTAACAAAATGCAATAAAGTGCAACAAAAAAACAACATGAAGCAACAAAAAGCAACACATTTAATGCAACAAAAAGCAATAAAAACAACATATAAAGGTATCACAACAATTATGTAATTCAATCTAGTATTTCAATCTATTTCATTTATGTATTGTATAATTTAGCTTTTCTTTACTTCACTTTATGCATCTCAACAAAAATTCTTTAAGTTTGACTTTCTTCTCTTGACTTTCCTGGATAATCTTCATTTTGTTGTCAAAAAGAGAAAAGTTAAAAATGAAAAGAAAGATTTACAAAAAAGAAGACTATGGGCATAAGGGTCATTCTTGGTGCACACAAAGTCTACACAAAATTTGTTCATTGCCCGTGTACACAAACAATTAGAGAGAGTTTAGTATCAAATCCTGCCCCTTTCTAAATGAATTGCATGTGTATACAGACGACTAGGAGGTTTTATATATACTTTTGTACAACTCATGTACACTAAGCATTTTCATGTAATATTAGGGGTGGACACGGTCTGGTCCGGTCCAATATTTGGCCGAACCTGTACCCATACCGTTACTATTGAAACGGTTCGGTTCGGTCTTAGACCTAAACCCGTTCGGTACAGTCCATTTTCAAATGGGGCAGTACCATGCCATACCAATACCAAATAATGTCAATTTTTTCAAGTGTTTAACGAAAAATTAAAGTTTAAACATCCTCCAAAAATCCACACAATTTAACAATTTTCATATTTCATACTACCTATGTTCCAAAATAATTTGCAAAGTTAACCTTTTTTTGGTTAAGCTGTTTTTTATTCATTTAATTAGGATTTCACTTTTTAATTATATTCTAATTTGGCCTTTCAGAAAAAGTATTTCATATATTCTATTTTGGATTTTGAAACTTTAAAGATATTTTAATGTGATTTCTAAATATGTAAATTTTAATTATAAAAATTGTACAGATTATTAATTATCATTAGGGAGGACATAACATTAACATTGATAAAAAAATGTTGACTTTGCAGATCAATTTGGGACAGATGAGGCAATTAATAAATTTTAGATAAAGTATAATAGTACAAATTTAAATAATTTGACCATACTTCGGTCCAGTTCAGTCTGGTACTGGTTCTCATTTTATGAGAACCCGTCATGACATTGTTTTAAACCGGTACAGTCCGGTTCGAGACAAAAAATCTGAGATCCGTTTCAAATCCCGTGTATCGGTCTAATAACATACTGGTCCGGTTCGGTACCATGCTAGTTCGGTATTTTATCGCACCCATATGTAATACTCCCTCCGTCTCAAAATAGTTGGCTTGACTTGCAGCTTTATTAATAAAGTAAAAACTATTTACTCGAAATTTGTGAGTGAATAACTTCACACTGTCAAGGTCTGCCTGTGCATCGCCGCACGTACCAATATCAAACTAGGCATCGCCGCCCTTGCCCCAAGACTGTCCATTCCCGAACAATGACGTCAACTGCGCTCAGACGACGGACGACATAGGCGGGGGACCCCTACCCATTAAAACTCTTCCAGTCACTACCATGGCTTCCTTCAACAGAGCCTCAAGGGCCCTTAGATCGAAGCTAATCTCACTGCGTGCCTCGCCCATTTTCACAAGCAGAACGCATCACGACACTGGAACCTGCAGAGCCATCCTCCCCCCTTTTGGATGGATTCCATGTTCTCCGTTCTGCTCCCGTCCTCGCCACAACAGTAAGGACGCTTCTGACATCGACTTGAGCCAGTACCCTACTGAAAATATCCGGAACTTCTCAATTATTGCCCATGTGGATCACGGCAAGTCCACCCTTGCCGACCGTCTTTTGGAGCTCACCGGAACTATCAGGAAAGGTCATGGTCAACCACAGTACCTGGACAAGTTGCAGGTTCTCTATTCACTCACTCTTATTTAATGTCATACCGGAAATGCCATTTTGTATAGCTCTGGTTATTTTTAGGATTATCTCGATCCTTTTCTTGCCGAGCTTTATGATGAGAAATGTGGTAGACTACATCCATGACATCTTATCTAGAAGAAAGATAAAAGTTCATGTTTTTTAATTTTGATTAGCATTTAGGAGCCATTTCTTGATTTCCCTGTAACCTGATCAAATTGGAATTTGACTTACTTTTTATGAAATTGAATGTAAGCTAAAACTTGCACACATTTAACCCAAATTTAAAATGCGTTAGTCGTTATAAAACAAAGGGTGTTATGAAATAAATGTCATGCGGTCTAAGCTACTAGGGCTGTTTGAGCTGGTTGCTGAGCCGGGCAGTTCAATTAGAAGAGGGTAGGGGGTTGTTATAGTAGAAGTAGACTGGAAGAATGGCAGAGGAGCCGGATGTATTATGTTTTTTTGTAGTATTACAAAAGCTTAACCACAAGGGAAATGCCTAGGCTATGTGCAATGAGAGGCGCGTGAGGTCAGGTTGTTGTAGTGTGTACTGTGTAGCGCAATCCGAAGTTCTAAACTCTAACCTGTCTTCAGTTGCCAAGGGAACTGTTGAACTTATGTGCTCCTGCTGCGTGTTGGGCATCAATCCGACAAAGGGGTTGTGGATACTGTCATTGTGTGGTTCGAACGCCTTGCTCGCATTGATATGGTCATTTGGGTGCATGCTTCTTCCTTGTGGCTAACACTGTTTGCACCCCTCTTATTAGATCGTCTGCCTCAGTACCTTGCTATAACAACACTGTTCTGTAGTCGTCTCTATGACTGGACTACACCAACTAGACTGAACTGATTGAGCCAATCCGATCAGGTCTGCCCGGTTTTGGGTAGTAAACACCATCATGGTGGAAGCTGATCCCCCCAAACTTCACAAACATTATGCAGACACTTACCATGTGTCAATGTGCTAAGATTGGGAGGGATTTTTTTTATTATTTTGAATTTTTTGAAATCACCCACTTTTATTATAATCAAAGTCATTACAGTAGAATGGAGGGAATGAATGGATTTTGCCAGTGCCTTTTTCCTCCATCTCCTACAACTTATTGAATAAAATAATGGTTTTCTTTTCTTTTTGGTACCATGAACTCTGGTTAGTGACTTTAGGTTTCGATTAATATGGGATCGAGCTGCTAGAAAATTTTATCTGGAAAAGCTTTCCCAACTTATATTGCTTAAGTCACAACTCACAAGTATAGTTTTAGCATGACACTTTAGTGGAAAAATCTTCTCATAGTTGCACCATAAGTTGTTGGGTCAAACTTCTACAATTGAACCATCAGAAATTAGCTTCTCTCTTCAAGTAACTAACTGCCTACATGAAGTAATGTGAAATGAAGCAATGTCAATTGTCCTAGGTAGAAAGAGAAAGGGGAATCACTGTTAAAGCTCAGACAGCTACTATGTTCCACAGCGGCAACTTCCTTGGTAGTGACACCGATTTTTTGTTGAACCTCATTGACACACCCGGGCATGTGGATTTTAGCTACGAAGTATCAAGATCTTTAGCTGCTTGTCAAGGCGCTCTTCTTGTTGTAGATGCCGCCCAAGGAGTGCAGGCACAAACTGTTGCAAATTTTTATCTTGCTTTTGAATCAAACTTAGCAATCATTCCTGTCATAAACAAGATTGATCAGCCGACAGCGGATCCAGATCGCGTCAAAGCACAACTAAAATCCATGTTTGATCTTGACCCCGGTGATGCATTGTTAACATCTGCAAAAACTGGTCTAGGTCTAGAGCACGTTCTTCCTGCTGTCATAGAGAGGATACCTCCTCCTCCGGGAAAAGCAACTTCTCCACTCCGCATGCTTTTGTTGGATTCATATTATGATGAGTATAAGGGAGTTATCTGCCATGTGGCAATTGTTGATGGTGCTTTGCGTAAAGGTGATAAGATTTCATCTGCCGCAACTTCCCAAAGTTACGAGGTTTTAGATGTTGGTATTATGCACCCAGAACTAGTGTCTACAGGAGTTCTTCTAACAGGTCAAGTAGGATATATTGTTAGTGGCATGCGTTCAACTAAAGAGGCTCGTATTGGGGACACTCTCTATCATTGTCGAACCACCGTTGAGCCGCTTCCAGGTATTTCTCAGAAACTTAAAAACTGGGAAAAAACTTCCTATGCTGTGTTTCTAAGTAAAGGACTTGGTTAGTTGTCATAATATGTGCTTTTGTATTCGTTGGTAGTTAGCTTTTGGATGGGAGGGGACGGAATGAGTATTTTTATTTTATTTTTTATTATTAAAATCTGAGTTAAATTTGATAACTTTTCAAAATGAAAGATATAAAAAAGGACAGCCCTGAGCTCAAAGGAATCCCCGCAAGGCGAGGGTCCAGGGAAGTTCCCCACCACAAGGGTGTATAAGACTATAATGGGCAAGCCTTCCCCTGTCAAATTATGACAAGAGGCCACTCCCAAGACTTAAACCCGTGACTTGTCTGAAACATCTTAACCGGTGCGCCAAGACTCCCCTTCAAAATAATAGATACTATCTCCGTCCTATTTAAAGGTTCCCATAAAAAAATGGCACGGTTATTTAGATAATAACTAAATAAGGTAATTCGAGTATATTTTGAGAAATAATTTTGATGGTTATATATTATAATTGGGTCATTGATGATAAGTGTAATGTTATACATGTATTATTTTTAATACTTGATGATTAAATTGTCATTTAGGAGTGTTAATTGTTTCCTAAAATAGAAATGAGAGAACCTTTATCCAGATGGTGCAGATGTCAAAATTAGGGATGCATGGTTGTGTTTTTCTAATATTGGACAGTTTCTTGTGTTACACCGGGCGATTCATTGCTGACCTGAGTTGTTTTGCATGATATAATAAGGTTTTAAACCTGCAAAGCATATGGTTTTTTCTGGTCTGTATCCTGCGGATGGGTCTGATTTTGAGGCTCTCAACCATGCCATAGAGAGATTGACTTGCAATGATGCTAGTGTTTCTGTTGCTAAAGAAAGCAGCACAGCTTTAGGTCTGGGTTTCAGGTGCGGAGTTTCAGACACCTTGCCCTAGGATTTTGTTGAGATTCTTTTTTTTCTTCAACATTCGAACTCATTTTCTCCCATCCTGATTCTTGATGAACAGATGTGGCTTCTTAGGTTTACTTCACATGGATGTTTTTCATCAACGCCTTGAGCAGGTTTCCCCTATAAATCATATGTTGTTTTTCACATCATCTTCAAGCCATCTTAACTGTCATAATGGTAACATATTTGTATTTGGGATAAGTACACAAAAGTACCATATAGGTAGGCGCATAGGCGCATTTGCACTTAAGAATTTGGAGTTTGTGGAATGTTTCTGTACAAACTGGTTAACCGGGGTTTATGTTTTGCTCCATTAACATCAAAGGAGTCTATGCATTAATGACATATAATGTTGCTAATGTGGCGCCTAGATCTCTATTTTTGATGGCATGTTTTTTACATTTAGATCATATAAGGCACCTATGTGGTAATAGTTGATTGTTGATCTGCAACCGTTACCAATGCCACAACCGCAAGAACTGTACGTAGGTGTCATCCGCCACTGATCACTGCCTGCTGCTGCTTTTATCATACATATGCATAGTTATATTAACTCTGGACGGAAATCTATCAGCTTTGTCGTCGCGAGTCAGCGTTGTTGGTTATGGTGTTTTGCACATCTATGTATATGGAATTTAACTCTGGGTAAAAATCTATAAACTATGTTTTAAATTTACTAATGACATTAAAATAATTATTAACTATACCAAACTTGCTTGCCAGTAATAATTTTTAAAATTATTTTTGTAGTATAACTTTTAAATTGTTTTAATATTTTTTTAACGTAATTAATAGTTTTTTTCTAGAATTAATTTTTACACATTGATGTGCATAACAAATAGTGATTGACTGATCTCGCACAATAGTGGGTGGGGACAGAGTTCGTAGATATTTGTTGAGAGTTGATTTATCTATACATAAGTACACAAAAAATCTGATGGCCAAGGTGGTTGGCAGCTAGTGGTGGCGGCTGGTAATTGCAATTCCATGGTGAAAATGACAGTAGTTGGATATCAGCAACAACAGTTATCAAATCAAGTGTCAACTCCACTGATGCTAATGATGTCAAAACTAAAAACACTAGCCCTAATTTGTCCAAGAGCATTCCAAGTGCTTTTACATACTTTTACGTACTTTTCCCTGGTTTTTCCCCCAAGTGCAAACACATCTAACCACAACCTACTTTTATGTACTTCCCGGATTTTTCATCACTATTGTTTGGCTTTTATTTATTTATGTAGTAAAGGAAGTATGTCAGGAAGCAGAATGCAGGGAAATGAAGAATGGAGATTTATAACATTAATATCAGTTTTGAATCCAACTATTTCATGAACATGATAGAAAAGGCCAAATAAAATTGGAGTGTGTTCTGTTGTACTAAGAAAGTAGTCAATACTCTATAGCTACTAGCTAGCTTATGGACATAGTAAACAAGCTAGTTTTTTCACCGCTATAACTGAAATACATAAACTTATTGGTTAATGCCAACACAGCCTTGATCAATTGATACCTTTTCTTTCTAATTCTAATAAAGATGAGACCGAGATGGGCGATCTTCTTCTCTAGTTACAGATTTACAGGTATTTGCTTTTTACTTTACTTTTGTGGACTATTATCATTGTCATTTGTATGTTCAATTACAGGAACATGGCGTGCATGTCATTTCCACTGTTCCAACGGTTCCATATATTTTTGAGTATTCAGATGGAAGGTACAGTCCTATAGGAAATATTTGTAAGTTTTTTTAACTACCTTTTAAACTTCATTTTACTGGCCTTGGTCATTGCACCCTTTCTGGTCTTTGTCTTTCAGCAAAATAGAGGTTCAAAATCCCGCAAACCTGCCTTCAAATCCAAAACAGAGATTAGTTTCTAGCTGGGAACCCACTGTGTTAGCCACAATTATTATCCCCAGTGAGTAAGCTCTCATGAACTGCAAGCTGTGCTTTATATTTATTTTTGCATAATGTGCTACATGCCTGCACGTGGTTTTCTGGGCTAGCTTGGTGCTAGACATGCCCTTTCTTATTAAAAATGGGCATGCACTATTTACTTCTATTTTTTTTTTTTTGCTTGAAGATATGTGGGTCCTATTATAACTCTATGTGCTGAACGCCGAGGGGATCAGCTGGAGTATTCATTCATTGACAGGTAATTTCCATTCTGCTACAGGAATGTAATATGTTAGATGTTTCGTTGTGGCAGATTATTTTTGCCTGTTTTAAAAGAAGTTTAGCATTTGTTCACCTTGTGGGTATATATCATTCTTCCCTATTTATACTTGTGCAGTCAACGAACTCTTATGAAGTATCGCCTACCTTTGAGGGAAATTGTTGTTGACTTTTACAATGAACTGAAAAGTATAACATCGGGGTATGCTTCATTTGATTATGAGGATGCTGAGTAAGTTCCGGTTCCACCTCTCCAATATAACTCCACCACATATGTCTACTTATAGTCCGTTTGGGATAATTTATAGTACAGGTGCTATTATCAATTGAAGCACTTAAATTGCTTTTTTGAAAGAGCAACTTTTTCTATCGTTTTCCTGCCAACTACTTGTTTTTGAGGTAAAAGAGCATTTCATCCTCTAAGAAGCACATTTTCCCTGAAAGTAATGTATCAGAAAGGAACTCTTAAACTTTATCCTTTACCTGATAAATGCATAACATTCTATTAGCATCGATTAGAAAATGTTTTTCTTTAATGAAATGAGTTTTTGATCCAAACTAACTCACATATCTGCTTTGGTGACAGATATCAGGCATCTGATTTAGTGAAGCTTGATATCCTTTTAAATGGACAACCAGTTGATGCAATGGCAACTATTGTTCATAAGTCGAAGGCGCCACGCGTTGGCCGTGATCTTGTGGACAAGCTGAAGAAGTTCATAGACAGGTCTGTTGATTGAAACTTCTAAGTATGTTTCTCATTCTTGACATTTATTTGAGTTGCTTATGCAGCTAGCTATGTACAGGCAAATGTTTGAAATAATCATTCAAGCTGCTATTGGATCAAAGGTTGTTGCCCGGGAAACGTGAGTTTTTAATACAAAAATAGTTCAAACTTAAAAAAATTGATTCTAGATAACTGTTCAACCTCATTCTGTTCATATAAGGACTAAGCAATCTAAATACATGAAAAAGTTTAAATCAAATTTGGTTTTCCTTTGTATTTTCTAAGATAAACCAAACAAAAAACTATTTTCCTTTAGCATATTTTACTTTTTTCGTTTTATGTGTTCCAAATATGTCCTTAATTCAAGTGGTTTAAAGAGTTTTGCTCACAATCTGGTAAATTCTTCATTGGTTTAGGGTCTCGGCCATGAGAAAAAATGTTATTGCAAAGTGTTATGGCGGTGATGTTACTAGAAAGAGGAAGCTATTGGAGAAGCAGAAAGAAGGGAAGAAGCGCATGAAGCGTGTTGGCTCCGTTGATATTCCTCAAGAGGCTTTTCATGAGATACTGAAGGTCTCTTGAAGGTTTTTGTAATGTCATTTTTCATTAATTAATGAAATCTCCTGTCTAGGTAGGTGAATGAAAATTGTACGAGTAGTAATGGAGAACAGTGGGTTAGCAGGATATAAGCTTTAAATAGCACTGACAATGCTTCAATTCATCATTTATATATTGAGGTTGAGATTTGAGCTTTTTGGTTGCCCATGTGATCTTCATGACATGTTTTTTGTTCTATAAATCCTCGTTTAGGTGATGCTTTATTTTCCTGACCTGAATTCGCCCTGCCTATCCTAGCTTATGCTCCCCCTTACCACGCTTAGGCATTGAACCTGTTATATTTTTGAAAGAAAAATTGTTTCGTAACATCCTCCTTTTCTGGCAACTCTGCAACTCTGCAAGTCAAACACAACTTATTTTGCCAAAGCAGCATAAGCCAAATAAGGCTACCAAGTGGAGCATATAAATACTTCATTCAATAATGTGTGTGTTCCTGAATGTATACAGGGGGGGTGGGGGTGGACTATAAGACTATAACTTATACGGAGTAATACATAGTTGCTATTCATAACAATCAAGTTACACACAGGTATCAGAATTTTGTCTCCACAACTCTATCAATAAATGGACTATGGTTAATCAATATTGGTGTTGGTTGTGGCTTTCAACTTTCATGCCTCTGACTCTGAGGTAATTGTTGTTTCAAATAAACAGGTTGATGTGCGTCCATAACTTCCCCATTTTCTTTCACCCTTTTTTGTTGCATTGATGCCATTGCAGCAGCTAGTACACACTTGAGATTAGGATCTGATGTTAGTGCTTTGGTTAAGGTTTCAGTGAGTGCCGCTTGCTGAGAGGAAGCAGCAGTCTGCTGGCCAAAGGTTAGTTCTTCGGACAATTTGCCTAGTTGTGACATTCCTAGGATTTGGCTATTGTTGTGTGCAGTATATCCACCGCCCCAGATTGTTGAAGGAAATGTTGGGGTTGACCGAAGGATGGCGTTGGATGGAAACATGTTGGGGAGGTCAAGGTTAATGGTTGGGTAAGGCGGTAAAGTGGAGGAGGAGGATCCAAAGAGGAGCATGGATGCTGCAGCTGAGGTGGTGGAGGCCATGGCGGTAGCAGCCATTGGGAGCGGATGGTTGTGCAGTCCCTCGTAGGTTGTGATCAAGACAGACATGTCATCTGAACATCGTTGGACCTGTTTTCTCACTGGACATGATGGGACCACTGTGCAACGGTAATAGGCACGCGGACATTGATTTCCTTTGGACACCTTTTGCCCGTACTTTCTCCATTGGCATCCATCGTTCATCTGTTCCAATAAGGAAAACAATTATCACATGTCGCTTCTAGTTTAAATAAATGCAATCGTCAAGGAATTGATTGTTTAAACCATTTTGAGAGGCACCTCATAGCAAAAACCTGGGCACTAGCCATCTTGACAGGCAACTGAAGGCAACTATCGAATACATGTATGAAATCCCGAAAAAACTTGGTGCGCTAAATGGATAACAGATGGATCACCAGGTTAGAATGTTAGATGTAGGTGATATTCATCTATCCATCACCAATCTATCAATGTGTGTGGTTTGGATGTGGATAACTGTGGTAAAAGGTGATCAATATGGGATGGACGCGGATGCAATGTTATGCATACCAAATCTCATCTGTTGCCAGTTGACTGTTCTAACTCCCAACTCCCAAGTCCTAACAATTTCTTTGTTCTTACCAAAAGGCAAGTTTACACTTCACACGTGGACGGATTCAAATCCCAAAAGTTAATATTAGTAGTAATTTTATCAGTGAAATAGTTTTAATTAATCTGATTAACTAAATTATTTGGAATAATGACAAGGCAAAGCTTGATACTCTGAATAGGCTTTGCACATTGGTTTAAATCAGTCATTACAATAAAAAAAAAAAGTAATTATATGCTTGCATTAGATACTCTTGTAGTCTTTTTTTTCCACGAGTTGCATTCTTAGTATAACTTCCACGAGTTTTAATACTCGTTTCACGAAGACTTATTTAAAATTTTATGTCGACCAGTTAATTAAATTTATAATAAATTAATATTTATTACGTAGTTATTACTATTCAAAATTGATATCTATGACACACATTATCACACTCCATCTCATTGTTAAATACATGGGAAAGATATTGAAAAGGTACTTGTGGTTGGGCCCGTTTTCTGATAGGGGCATGTGTTTCATTCTTTATCAAAGTGATTTATGTGTTTGAATTCCGTTATTACAAGAGGGTCACGCCGTTAAAAACGTCTGAAAAAGACCGTTAAAAGTAATTCTGAATTTCAAAAGTGCCGGAAAAGTTAAAAGAAAAATACCCGAAGGCGTGTCTCAATAAGACGATCGCTAGACCATTTTTCTTTTTTTGTTTTCAGCCACCCTTGTCACCGGAAAATCCACCGGAAAAGTGATATTAGCGAAATTATTTTGAAAAAATACGATAGTAATTCAAACAGATATGAAAAATCCAAAGACGAAGGTGGTTTGGAGGTCATCTTGACGAGACGCACCTTTCGGTATTTTTCTTTTAATTTTTCGGGCACTTTTGAAAATCGGAGTTACTTTTAACAGTCTATTTCAGACGTTTTTAACGGCGTGACCCTCTTGTGATAACAGAATTGAAACACATGAACCACTTTGATAAAGAATGAAACACATGACCCTATCTGAAAACGGGTCCAACCACAAGTACCTTTTTCGTACTTTTCCCTAAATACATTATCTTTTATGGTCTCATTTTTTCATTTATCACTATCCATTTATATATAATTCTAACATTTTCATCAATTATTTTATTGAATTAAGATACATTTGTTCTTTGCGAAAATTAAGATTACAAAACAATAACTATATTCTTCATGTTTATTAAAAGTTGGTCAAACTCAACCTTATCTTACCTTATGGGACACATGAAGTGCTAAAATAAATTGTCACACACTTACCGCGTTATAACTTAATATCCCATTCCTTTTTGAAAAGATATGCAAAAAATGATTTACAGATCGGAGTTGAATGAATACAACATTATTATTTGTAAATGATAATTGAATCGGTAAAATAGTAATTAACATTTGCATTATAAAGGACCAGAGTAAAAGGTTAATGTAATAACACAAGTCAAATATGAACACCAAAAGAGTATAGTTGACCATTTAAATAGAGAATAAGAAAGGATTTGCATTGACAAAAATATATCTAAATATCATTTCGATGGAGTATGGCTTTTGAATTCATAGTTAATCTAGAAAGCTAACAACTTTTATTAGAAAACAAAATATGTGGCGATGGAGTACGACTTGATTTGTTTTCTCCAACCACACGAACTCACATTATGTTGACTTTAATATTGTTAAAAAACATACTTCGGGTATATTGACTTTAAGATCACACGATTATTGACAAAGAAATAAAACGTTGGAAAAAGTAATTAAACATACACGTGACATCATCACTTAATTAATACTCTCTCGAAAAACTTAATCAACCTAACTTTTCTTGATGGATAATAAATTTTGGACAATAGTTTTTTTTTTAAATATATTTGTGTGGAACTTGTACCTTTTATATTGTTATGAAAATTTTGAACAAGAGTATTTTCATATAACTTTCATATTTAGAAAGATTTCATTTTAAAAAATGTCATTAACAAATTTGATGATCCTTGATAAAAAAATCCATACCTCCTAGTTTTATGAATATAGAATATAGTACGGAGTATTCAATTACAAAAAGGGAAGCTAAGACAATACTCCCTCCGTCTCTGAATTATCTTCAAACTTTCCTTTTTTGTCTGTTCCAAAATTATCATCTCCTCTTTCCTTTTTGACAAAGAATTTGTGGTTGTCAACAATTCTTACACTTTTCTCTTTCCACCACACAAAAATCACTATTTTGACCCCGTGCCGGGTCAAAATGGGAGATAAAATAGGGACGGAGGGAGTATATAAGATAACTTACTGTTGGAGTGTCACACCGTGACCTTACGGAAACCCTAGCTCTCTTGCCAGCGTCACCTCCATTTCCATTCATCACCTCCGGGACGCGGTTTTCCGGGCTCCGGCGACGACCTTGGTTCCCCCCCAGGTAGTTATTGGTCTCCAACTGAGGCGTCTTATTGCTACTATCACACGGTTGTTGAAAGCTGCCGCCGCCGTAATTAAGGCTGAGTTTCAGGGCCTGGCTGTCATCTCCGGCGGGGTCCTTAACGGGTGATTTGGAAGTACGACGATGTTCGGGGAAAGTAGCTATAGATGGATTCCTTCCTAACCCGAGTCGTATCTATACAGTAATAAATAAGTTTACTATCATAAAATGAGGTAAACGGCAAGCTAATTATAATAAATTACTACCTCCGTCCAGGACAAGTTCCCACTTTCCTTATTTGGATGTCCCAAAATAAACTTCCCATTTCCCTAAATGGAAAGTTATCCTACATCAAAATAGTGTCAAACAGTGCAAAATAGTGTCAAACAGTGTCGAAACAGTGCAAAACAGTAAAATTTAACCCTCAGTAACTTTATTTCCTAAAAATGTGTGAAAGTCAACCCGAAAACTTGTTTCCGGGACGGAGGGAGTATTAATTTCTTATCAAATAAAATTAATGGAGAAACAGCAAATTAAATGCATATTTATTCCAAGTTTTCTTGTTTTGGAGTGTCAAAATTGAAAATTGAAAGGTGTATTTGGTCTGGTGCTCTTCAAAACTTATTTTATGATGGAACTCCAAATCTTAATACTCTTTACACACCTGTGACTCGGGAAGAAAATGATCATCTAGCGGTGGTGGCGGGTGATGAGAAAGTACGTGGGAGAAACGGGTGTGGAGAGAACGATAATCCTTCTCTATCTGAGCTATTATGGTCTTCAACCTCTCATTCTCTCTTTTCGCCTCCTTCATCTCTGCTTTTGCCTTCTTCGCTGTGATATCAACTTCTTCATTCTACACAACCCAGGCCAACTTAATTAATCAAGTATCCAATTCAATGACATGCTAAAGGGGTCGAAACTTAAAATTTTACTACGGAGTATTTTTTTTTACTGTGTTACTGCGTAGAAATATTTATGCATACATAATTACATATATACATCAGAATTTATTTGGGAGAACGAGGCCCCCGCCAGCCTCTCCCCGTCTCCACCCATTTTACCCAGTACTATATATGTACGTGGGCATGTATGTATATATGTTTATGTATGTATTATTGTATTAATTAATCGATCTGCCCTTCAGTTAATTGTTTAGATGTCACTATTAATTACGTATATGATCAGTTAAGTTGTGATTGAGTTACCTTTAGAACGGCGGTGATGAATTCCGCTTGACGGCAAGTTACGGAACCTTCGCCAGTTGGTTTTGCGGCAGCTACTTTGCCGGAGTCTGATGAGATATCAGACGAATTCGACACCATTTTTTATTTTAGGAGTATTATCAAAAGATCAGATCTGCTCTGATGAATTGTTTGAACTTTGAAGTGGTGAGAATATATTTTTCTTAAATATATATATATCCTCTGCGGACGCCGTGTTTTTTTATTTATTTTATTACAAGTATTAAATATTAATAAAGTGCCATATTTTAAGTAATTAGGTAGCTAGATTAGTGGACTTTTTGTTTTCCAGTTCTTAATACGTAGTATATACTATCGTATGACCATTTTCCTGGGCAAATGATGTTGTAAGACCTTTAAACCAAGCACATGGTATACCTGTCTTAGGGAGTGTTTGCAACTGCTTCTGCTTAAATAAAAACACTTTTGGAGATGTAAGGAAAAAGTGATTAGTAGGAAAAGTTGATAGTGTTTGGGAAAAAAGTGATTTTGAAAAGTAAAAGTTGACAGTGTTTGGTAAAATAAGTGCTTTTTGTGTAATAGAAAGGGGAAAAACACTTTTCACACGCAAGCCGGGAAAAAGTTAAAATTGGTAGTGTTTGGTAAATAAGTGCTTTTTAAGCCAAAAGCTGAGAAATGCTTTTTTTTTAAGTGATTGCAAACACTCCCTTAATATGGTACGTTATATTTAAATAAAAAAATTCGAATCTTCTCGTCTCCGATCACACATTCTTCTTCTCTGTCAATCTTTTCAGTCATCTCATTCTCCGATTTTTTTATTCATTTTTATATTAGACCTAGACATCTTACATTTCTATTTGCCTCAAGTTACATTTCCACATAATGTGATTTAAAATTTCGACTCGCATGACCACATCAAGTTACATTTTTCCATTACCGCTATTTACTTTTAATTTTAACTTGTCTCAAGTTACATTGTATTTTCGTTAACGTGCACTTACAATTTGAATTGCCTCAAGTTAGTTTCCATTAATGTGCGATTTACATTTCGACTTGTCTAGAAGGAGTAAAGCATGGACGCGGTTACATACCATTATCAGATACTCGTTATAAAATATGAGAGGATCGCTACCTGAAAGGAGTAATGTGAGTTGCACATTAGTTACATTTTGGGAGAGGTTGTTGACAGACTTCAATTTTGACATTGATCTCATATAGTCATATATATGCACATTAAATTCATGACGTTGATTTCACCGATTAATGACAACTTTTATCTCTTTTTCTAGTACGAATTGAAGAATATGAAGATATTTAGTACGTAAAACGTACAAACTGGGTTGTTAATTGTTAAACATGTGGCATGGATATGCATGCCGTCACTAGTTCTTTACGTTTTCTTAATTGTTTGTTACACAATAATGCATGCGTTCTAATGTAAATGTGTCACACTGCATTCGTCATATATGTAAATGTAAATGTTACCACATTCACATTTTGTACTTTGGAGATATTTAATTTATTAATGTATTAATTAAAAATATAATACTTGGAAACTATTTTTAATTTCCTCTCATTTGAATTTTTTTTATTTTTATTAATAAAGAATGTAATATATCAATGACAAAATTGTTTATGGATAAACGTGAAAAAGGAAGTGTTGCAAATACTACGTATAAAATAAGAGAGAATTTTTTTCAGGTTTTTATAAACTTCCTTCTTCACATTTTCTTTCAAATTTAAATTTTAAATTTTACTCCGTATTTCTTTAACTTCTTTCATGTTACACCTATGTTCGATCACTTCCCTGTCTTCCCCCCGGCCACACCCCGTTTTAATAGATTTTCATATTTAACATCCGTTTTAAAATCACGTTTTATTTTATAAAATATTTATTAACTAGGGTTTCAACTCCTTTCACTTTTCTTCGTTCTCCAACAAGTTCATTCTCATTCCCGTCATTTGCTTTAGGTTTGCTTACTTTATTAATGATTTATTTCAATTTGTTATTTGGTTGTGAAATAAATCATTTTATGTATTTGATATCATTTAATTACTCTTAATCAACCTTGAGAAAATGCTAGTTATTTTGTTTTTTATTAATTTTTTAGTTCATTTTTATATATCTTCTGATCGATAAATTAAAGTTTAAAATATATTTTGATATTTGTTCTGATGTTTGAACTTTGAACTCGTTTTGTACTAATCAAGTAAATCAATAAATAATTAAAAGTTTGGATCTGCCAACTGCCAAGATTTATCGGGATGGGCTCATCCCTAGCTACGCAAATTGCATGTAAAGAAATTAATTAAATATTAATAATAATTCAAATAATACAAAGACATGAAAGAAAATGTGGAAGTAGATCTTGACACTTGGGTTTGAATATTCGTTTTTCGTACAAAGAAAGCGTCATATTATATGGCAGAGTCAACTGTTCGAGAAAAATAGGCAAAGGACGTAGCCTCCTTTATTAGTAATTTGGCTAAGGAGAAAATATTATGGCACACTTTTTTCTACAAAAATAGAAAAGTGAAGCACTCTTGTCACATTAGCTAAGTTTTTTTTTTTTTTTGAAATAATCACATTAGCTAAGTTGAAAAAAGGAAAAAGAAAAGTGACATTTTCAAATACCAAAAGAATAAAAGCTAATATTTCTTATAACTTCATAAAACACGCGATATCGTCTCCATTAGTCAAAATGCTTTTTATGATTACAGAAACGTGCAACACTTAGGTCATATATATGGATAGGTAATAGGTGTAGCTTAATACAAAAAGTTTTCAAAATAGGAATAAACACAAAAAGGATTTGCGATAATATTTATGACTTATATTTTTTGCACTGACCACAATTTAAGTAAACTATTGTCATGTATTCATGTTGAGATAATATTATCGTATTATCATAATTTATAATACTCCATCCATCCAATAAGTATACTTATTTGGATGGATGGAGTATACTACGTAGTACCTACTTTGATTTGGATCGAAGTTTAAGAAAGTGAGAATAATGAAAATGTATGATTGTAGTTGTGTAAAAAAATGTAAATAAATTGCAGCCACACAAAACTTTAAAAATTAAAGGGGAATTGAGAACAATTTTTGGGACAACCCAAAAAGGAAAGTGCGAACTATTTTATAAGACGGATGAATAGAAAGTTACTTCCCGGAAAGTGCTTAAGAAATATGTTTGGTCATTTTCCAGTGGTCTATAACGATTGTTAGGTAATGCCATATTACAAAATATTAAACTCAAAACGTTACGGTACTATTTAAAGTGTTTCTATTCCAGTGTTTCCGTATAAAAAATTATCTGAATGGTGGAACAACTATTTATCAAACTAAAATGATCAGCTATTTACACCCTATATCTCTAATCTCTTCACAAAATTGAAGGCTCGGTAGTGTATGTATGTTGAGTTGGGTACTTGGGTCAAAGTCAATCCATATACATGAAATAAACACCTACATTTTCGCCAATCAAATTTTTTAATATAATGAAAGGAAATTAAGGAGTCCTTCAATTGAGTTAAGGTGGCTAAGATCTTTTCAAACAATGGTCCCTCTCCCTAATTACCTTGATTGTTTCTCCTTTAATTTCTCTAGAGATTGACATTCTTTTTTTATATAGAAAAAGTACATGCATGCATCCCGATGCATCTGGCTACTTTCCCAGGCAAAATTTTGTCAAAAGTCAACATCCATTCTACAACATAATTCGCACTTCGTCAAATATAAACATGACACTTGTAAAAATTTGGTTAGACTAAATAATTTTCTTTTAGTCTATATTGAACTTGTTTTGTGTGGTCTAGTTGATTTATGTATAAGAAAAATATTAAAGGATAGCCAAAAGCATAATGATTGCTTACAGACTCATACTTATAATGTTTTTAATTGAACTGATTTCAATATTAAACCAAATCAGATCAGACTAGACAAGACTAACTAGATAAGATTATACCAAACCATATACTCAACGGTTTGGAACTCATGTTCCAGATTCATACCCACCGAGGTATAAACCATGACAACTCAAATATAGAGGATACATCAGTAACCATGAGCACAAGGAGCTCACTTTGAGATGTTGCCCTCACACTGCCATTGACGGGGGACTCGATCCTTGATCAATTGTTTCAAACTTCACTCATGTGATCAATTGAGCTGTCCATGAGCCAATGCAAGAAAATGCCACCCCTTTACTAACTCACCCATTTCTGAAGGATAGTCTTAAAAGAAGGGTTAGAAAAGCGAACATAGAAGTGGGTGGACCCAGTTCTAAATCTTGATAACTATAGATGTTTTCATCCGAATTGAAACATTAATCTGATCTGTTTCGATAATATTATTTTGGTATGATAACATGATAATAAAGGTGAAAAATCGTCTAAGCGCCATATAAATATGCAACCTTCCATCAATTAGATTGTCACTAAAATTGAATGATATACTACGTATATCACATAATCACATGTCAACTCTTCCATATACTACGTATTATTATTATCGTATAATAAGGCTGAGGTATGGTGTCAAGCTATACCGTGAAGGATATTGCTTTTCGTATGTATTCAACTATACATACTAACATACCCGCAAATGAGATCAAGAATTGACTTTTGCACTAGGGCCTAGGATTGGGATGGGTAAGGAAACTAAATTACTGAAATTATGCACTCCATGGTAATGAAAATCGAGGAGGTGATGGGTTGGAAAGGAATTGAAGTCAACTCTAACAGAATGAGATCATATCATATGCTTCTTAAAATACTCTCTCCCTCCCGAATAAATTTTTTATAGTACAAATGACATGGAGATGATGATGAGTACAATGTGGTGGAAAATTGTGAAGAGGAAAGAGAGATGCATAACAACATCTCCAATGGTTGCTTTTAGGAACTTGCTTGCAATTTTGAAGCTACTAGCCTACCATTGGAGCATTGCTCTTCCTTTTGCTTAAGAAAGCTAATTAGCCTAAATGAACTACTAGTTTGAGCTAAGAGAATTATTAAACATAACATTATAAATAATAAATGCAAAGGAAAAATTTATAGATAACCATTGGAGTATATTTCAATTTTGCTACAAATACTTATGTGGCTAGTCAAGCTATAAAAGCAATTAGCTAACCGCTGGAGATGCTCTAAGAAATATTGTGA